TAGGGGAGGGATGCCAGTTCTAACCAGCTCGTCACTGCCACTTCCAGCTGTTCTTCCTGCTCCTGTGCCCCCCCCCACCGCCCCATGTCCTGTAGTCCTTAGTCATGCTTAGCTTTTTGGCAGCTCCCGTATCTACCATCTGACAATTCGATTCCAAACCAAAGCTGCAAAAGAAAGAACACCTTGGAAATGTGAAGATTAAGATTCAGAGCCAAAGAATAGAAAGCTTTGAAATTTAGTGATTTGTGCACCTTGACCTTTGTCATAGGATTTTATGAAGATACAAAAATATGAAAATATTAAGCAACCTTTAAAGCCTTTTTATTTGGATAGTCACAGGGATGTAAAGTACAGCATAGGTAATATAGTCAATAATATTGCAATAACTGTGTATTATCCAGGGGAATCACTTCATAATACAGTCAATAATACTGTAATAACTATGTATTATCGGGGGAATCACTTCGTAAGTTATATAAATGTCAAACCATAATGCCTGTTATATGCCTGAAACTAATATAATATTGAATGTCAACTGTAACTGAAAAATAAAAATAAAATTTTTATGTGGAAATAATTGAAGATAGTACAAGTGACCCTTGTACACGCTTCATTGAGATTCTCCAGCTGTTAACATTTATCATATCTGCTGTACTGACCGCAGTCTCTGTCTATGGAACCATTTGAGAGCAAACTGAGACATTCTGCCCCTTTACACTTAAATATTTCAACATGCGTTTCCTAAGAACAAGGACATTCTCTTACAAGACCCTAATAAAATGATCCAAATCAGTTAATTTAATGTTATTATACATAATTATCTCCTGTATGGGTCATATTCAAAGTTTACCAGTTGTCGCAACAATGTTCATTAGAGCTGTTTTTTGTAAACCAACTCAGGGTCACCCATGGATTTATTTGTTTTGCCTCTTTAATCTCTTTTAATGTGGGACAGATCCTTAATCATTGTCTTTTATGACATTACTTTTTTTTCAAAGATACTATTTATTTATTTTTAGAGCGGGGGCAGGGAAAGAAGGGAGAGAGAAAGGGAGAGAAACATAGATGTGAGAGAGAAACATCAACAGGTTGCCCCTTGTACCTCCGCCACCCAGGACCAAACCCACAACCCAGGCACGTGTCCCGACCAGAAATTCAACCAGTGACCTTTCGCTTTGCAGAATGATGCCCAACCAACTGAGCCACGCCAGTCAGGGCTATGACATTAATGTTTTTGAAGAACACACAGACATCATCTAGATTTGTACAGCTCATATACATTATATGCATTGTTTTGCAGGAACGTACATTGTGTTATGTCCTTTGGGGGCATCATATCATAAGGCTCATGATGTCCATTCCTCCCATAACTCATGGTACTGATTTTGATCATTTGGTTATAGTGGTGTTTACCAAGTTCCTCTATTGTAAACTTCTCTTTTATCCTTGTAATCAATATGTAATTTGTGGGGAGTGATTTTGAGACTACGTAAATATTACATTTCACATCATCACAGCTTTATTTTTTTAGTTTTAGTGCCTTTCGATGATTCTTACTAAATCAAAATTTTTATTGAGCTATTACTCACATATAAAATGTATTACTTTAAAGCGCACGACCCAGTGGCTTTTAGTACACTCGCAGGTTGCGCAACCGTCACCGCGATCTAGCTCCAAAACATCCGCACTGCCGCAGAAAGAGACCTTGGGCCCCTCAGCAAGCATTTCCCTTTCCTCTGCTCCCTTTAGGCTCTGGACACCACTAATCCACTTCCTCTCTCTTTGGATTTGGCCATTTCGGACATTTCGTATCCACGGAATCAGACAACATGTAGCCCTGTCTGTCTGGCTTCTTTCATTTAACGCATTTTCAAGCTTCATCCATATGGTAGCTTTAATTAATACTTCATTCCTTTTTATTTACCTATATCAAGTATTGGTATGATTTTTGAAAAATGATGATATTCTGAATACATCGCCCTGTCTACATTTATTAGGCAACATTATTTTTATCATCCTACTTCAAGAAGCTCTGTAAGAAAACTGCACTGGGGAAGTCAATTTTAATAGACAGGGTACCCCTCCCCTCAAGTCAGCTCCACTCTTAGATAAGACATCACCTTTCCAGGAGTTTACAGACCCTCCCTCATCGCCAATTGGAAAAAAACCGATGCGAGCTCTCTCTCACCGGGTCACCCATAGGCTCCGCCCCCTCGTCCAGGAGTCCCCGCCCTAGCGGCTCAAGAGGAGGAAGTGACGCACAGGAAGTGTCCCTGATCCCCTTGCAGTGGGGGGAAGGAATTAAACCCCCAAGATGGCGGCGGCGTCGGAGGAGCGGATGGCTGAAGAAGGAGGCGGCGGCGGCCACGGCGACAGCAGTTCCTCTTCGGCCATCGGCTCTACCCAGCGACTGCCCCCACCGCCCCCGCCCCCGCCCCCACAGCCGGGGTCCCAGGCGCCCCCAGCCCCAGCGCTGGCTCAGGACCAGCTGCCTCAAAACAACACGCTGGTGGCGCTGCCCATCGTAGCCATCGAGAACATCCTCAGCTTTATGTCCTACGACGAAATTAGTCAGCTCCGCCTGGTGAGGCCCCGCGGGACCCCCGCCGCCCTCTCCCCCGGGCCGAGGGACGGAGAGGGGAGCGTGTTCCCCGGGGAGGGAAACCCCCACGAGCCCAGCGTGCCGGAGCTCGGCCCTCCCGCCCCAAAGTCTCCCTGGGTGTCTGTCAGCGGGGTTTGTCCCGACGCCGCCCTCGCTTCGGGGCTGGGGGCGACTTCGCCTTGGGGTGCTCGGTGCCCCACCCCACCCCCGCCTGGAGCGGGGTTCCCAGCTCTGCCGGGCCTGAGCGTGAGCACACGAGTGGGCTCGACTGCCTTTTGTACAGAGCCTTCCAGACCCCGGCCCGGGCCGGGGACAGCACTCCGAGGAGGCAGGATGATCCCACAGTCCCAGCCAGGTTTGGTTTGTCGGCAAGAAGGACGTATTGTTCCCCCAACCACCCAAGTTTCCTTGTTGAGGATAAAGTAGGGTTGGTGGGTTGTCCCCGAGCCTCGAGCCGGTCCGGGGAGCGAGAACCCCGGCACCTGTAACTGACCAGTGAAGGGCAGCCCGAGACATTCCCAGCTGGCGTGGCCTCGCCCCTGACGTGCCCACCCAAGTGAAGCAACTTGCCCCTTGACCGGGGCTTTTTCTCTTCCAGTTCAGTCCCTAACTGGTGATTTGCGCCTACCCGCCCGCTTTAGGAGAGGTTTTATACCTTAAAATCACAGTAGTTTGTTCAGCCCATGATTCATAAAAATAATGCATTTGCCATTGGGGTTTTATTTCACTCCAGAGGTTTGACGGAAGATTTGATGAATGTCTTAGTCATATTTTGCTTACTTTCGGTGAATTTACCTTGAAGTGGCAAGGAGATTGAGGAGGTGGACATTTTGAAGTGATTGCAAACCGAGTCTTTGTAGATGCTAAATCTGTGGTCGGATTGTTTTTAAGAGGACAAAGACATATTTCTGAATGTGCTGTGTATAGCATTTTCTTACTGATCAATATGTCATAGTTTAGATTTGAAATGCATTGCAATTGCATTTTTTAAAGGAAATCATGCTTATTTTTTTAAGAAAGCTTATTAATAATACTTCATGACCAATTTTTTTTTCTAGTCAACACAGCAATTTAACCATTCCAGTCTGCAGAATGGAAAATTCTCCAGTTAAAAAGTGATATTTCAAAATTGTCCCTGAATTTTTAAAACATGTCATCTTTAGAATTTCATGTAGAATCTTAAATATTTCTTCAAATATGTATAAAGGATGGTGTTTGATCAAGATGCATGCTATACGTTCGTGGTATATGGAAACTGAGCATAGCATTTGATTGAATGGAGCCTTTCAGCCAGACAATGGCTTTGTAAAGCGTGGAATGGTCACAGTTCTGTTTTATAACTATTGAGGAAAACTGTGGGGTTTTTGTTCTTTTGTTAGTTGTTCTACTTTTTAAAAAATTAAAAACATTTCTAAAGGAGGGGGAACCAGCCCATCCCAGGGGACAGAGTTAAAACACATCCCACAATTTATTAAGTGACACTTCTTTTAAGTGAAATACTGAGTTGCATTCTTAAATTTAAGCAATCATCTATTCTAGCCTTCTAAGGACACAAATCTAGTTTCAAACAAAGATGTTTCATAAGGACCCCTTACAAACCGTGCCTCCCCGAAGATTCTGCAGCCAGTTTTACAGCTCAGAAATGTTTTTTAATCAGCTTTTGCAAAGGGGAACTTATTCCTGGGTGATGGATATTCTTAGATTAAATGGATAATCTGTTGTTGGGGTATGAAGGTGTCTTTGGTTTTAGATTCTTTGGTTTGGTGTCATAGGGAACAATTCAGGTTAACATCAGAAAAGAAAGATGTTCTCACCACTAGATGTCAGCATTAATTTAATTATGCTCTTTATATGAAATTGACAATCTGGAGGCAGGACTTGACATGCCTTTTCTACTTAAGTGGCCATTTATACCTGAAGAATTGTTTGCCAGAAAAAATCAAGGAAGTTTAGTGTGTGTGCTGCTATGAAGTGTGTAAATGACATAGTTACTTCTATGGTATTTTTTAGGGGAATTAAGTTTGGGTATGCTTGGAAGAAGGTGATGTTAATTAAGAACAGAATTAGTTTCATAAGCTAAATGTCAACTACTTGGGCTGATGAGCTGTTTTATGTATGGTTCAGATATTAGTTTTTCTTCTTTCCCAGTTTGCTTGCCTTTTGGGGACCTCAATCATAATTATGTTAGCACCTGAATCAGGTAACAGGTACACAGTCCATGTACTTATTACTCTGTATTTTCTTTAAAAGATTTGCTCTATGTTGAAACTGCTACAGTAACATTTTCCAGTTATTTGTGCACTTACATTGATGATAGGCTTTGCTTCTTATCACCATGAATAATTGAAATTTGACTCTCCAGTCCAGTTATTTCCAAGGGACTGCCCAAATGCTTTACTAAATCTTTTTTTGTTTGTTTATTTTTTGTTTTTTGGTTTTTGGGGTTTTTTTTTTTTTCTGCCATCCACTTGTTCTAAAAATGTACCCGGAGTTTAGAAATCCTGGTTACACGGAAATCGTCCTTTAAATATTTAATCCCTCTAATGCATTTAAAATTATTTGGTTGAACACAACTTTTGTGAGGCCAAAACCTGTACTTTGAGTTGTTTTCCAGTAAATTAGACAAATTTGAGCTGATGCATCATCAGACTGTCACCCAGGCCCTCCGGGCAGGTAGGAGAGTTTTTGAAACAAGAAGCAAAGGTCAGAGAACTCCCTGGTTGGGGAGCAGATGGAAGCCGACCTTGAAAGTGCGGCGTGGATGCGAAGCACAGTGTTGTCACGCACTGGGAAAGGCATTTGGCAGGCTTTCTGAGAGATGTTTTAGGGAGATCCCATCAGATGCTTTTCTTTGTGGTTCAAGAGGCGCTCCTGTAAATTCAGTGGAGTCCTATTCGGTGGAAATGTATGTTCAGGACATACATTTGACTACAGGTTAAATCTGTAAGTCTTGGTTATTATCTGGAATAAAATTTTCCCGTTGGTAACAAAATACAAATACTACCTGCTTTTGTCCCACGCTGTTTCTCAGGCGCTCTCTAGCTAGTTAAATCCGCTCCTCCTCACGGCATCTTTTCCTCCAGTGCTACAAAGTTTCGGGTATAGAGGGTTCACTGGTAGGAAACGGGAAAGAAAAATGAGAAACTGTTAACTTTTTTTTTAAACTGGGCATGCTGTCTTCCTCATAGCTCTTGCTCTGTGCCAGTAGTTCTCAGCTTTTTTGTCTGGAGATACCGTTATATTCTTAAAAGTTACTGAGGACCCTAAGAGCTTACCTTGGAAAGTTCTAGAAAGCATAAAAATACACAGTATATTAACTCGCAGAGCAGTGTCATTAGATGTCGTGTTGCCTCTGGGAAACTCCACTATATGCTGTGAGAATTGAGAGTGGAAGTGGCAAAGGACGTGTCAGGCTATGGGAATGGCTGCCTTCGAAGACCCGGGAGAGGGTTTGGGGACGCGGGGGCCCTAGGCCACACTTGGAGAACCACCGCTCTCTCCCGCTGTCTTCCAGAAAACACACCGTCCCTATGGCTGCGTTTTGGGTTTTTGTTTTTGTTTTTCTTCATCTCATCAGGTCATTGATTTTGTTAACAGGTACTTAAGTAAGAAACTGTAACACTTGGGGGACAGTTCACTCTTCCTACAGACTCTGGCCTCAGAGTGAAGGGGTCAGCCCGCAAGGACGAGGCTGCAGCACGGCACGGGCGAGCACAGGGCGTGCGGGACGTGAGGTCGTGGGGGTGGGCAGCAGAGGCTTCCTCCCAGGTGGAGGAACAGTGCGCTCAGAGCACACTAAAAGGACGGATAACCTCATGAAGTAGCTGCGGAAGGGTGACTTGGGTTACAATGAGGCTGATTTTGGACGTGTGAAGTTGTAGATGTCCTAGAGCAGTGATCAGATGACCTCTCCCGGCCACCCCCACACACACTTTCTACCTTTTTTATTTCACAGACTTGCCAAATTTAAGAAACTGTTTTTTGAGAACAACCCCTCCAGGGTTGACAGCTTTCGGTGGGGGAATTGAGTAGGGGTGTTAAAAAGGAAAACACAGATTCTGTCTTATCACCATCATTATCTCCTGTATATCCTGGTAAACTGTGAGGTGTGGGTTCTTCCACTGTTGAAGGAGGTACTGTCTTAAAAGGGTGGCTGGGCATATAAATCCAGTTTCATGATTTTTGAGACTAGGAGCAAAAGATAACCTTTGACAGAGGTTTCTCCCAGTCACCTACTTCCAGTATCTTGCACTTAAAAAGAGGGTGATTGAAACAAACATCAAGCTGTTGTTCCCCACACATAGTAGGTCTGCCCATGCAGGTGCTTTTCCTCCTGCCTGCAGCCTCTCCTTTGCTTCCCTCTCCTAGAAAACATCTGTACCTTCAAGTGTTGGGACCCCAGCAGAGCTGCCTGTGGTTCTGCTCTGAACTTGACTCAGGTGGTATTCTTAAATTCCCATCCCATCATTTCTGTGCACGCAGACTAGGATGGTCCCTGGCAGGGCCCGTTTCCCTTACGTGTAAGCTGCACGCATCCTTTTATCACGGATCCCGACGTCCATAGACGGTCTGTGACACGGTGTCCATGAATCATTCCTAAAGCGTTTCCCTGCTCTGAGCAAACAACAGAAAATACGTCACTGTAAATAAGGGTTTCCTTATAAACTGTAATCATGCTGAAAAAGCAGTTGCTTAACATTTACCTCCAAAGGAGGACATCAGAAAATTTTTTAAATGTAAACTATTCAGTTTACCCAGAAAATCTTTAACATTTTACAGGAACATTTTAAGAAACTGAGTGACTGAAAAAAGTACTCTTAATGAGAATAAAAGTTGATAAGGTGATCTGAAGCTAGTAAGAACAGCCATTTACAATAGTACTTCAAGGTTCCTTCATTATAATCAACACTTGGTTCCTATATTAACAAAAATGATGGTACAGAGAAACAAGACTGAGAATAATCAGAAGGGCCTCTCTGTTCGACTTTCAGGATGCTTTCTGGAAATCCTGGGAACAGGCTTTTCTTCCTCATTGTTTTGCTCAGACTTAACACTAAAATAAGTTTGTTTTCTTTCCAATTGAATATCTAGGAGGATACTAGGGAATTTAAAATTTGTTTGACCTCTACTTGCAGATAATAATCTCTCTCTATATAATATTATATCTCAGACGATCCAAACCAGGCAAATACATTATTTTATTAAAGATTGAGTATTCTTATGAAAGAGGTAGCAAGTTGCATTTACATTTTTTAAAAGATTTTATTTATTTATTTTTAGAGAGAAGGAAAGGGAGACAAAGTGAGGGAGAGACACATCCCACATGCCCTTAACCTGGGACCCGGCTCAAAGCCCAGGCGTGTGCCCTGACTGGGAATGGAACTGGCGACCTTTCGGTTTGCAGGCCGGCACTCAGTCTGCCGAGCCACACCAGCCAGGACTCAGTGTTCATTTTTTAAATGATTTTACCCCATTGATAATGAAGCACTCATCATTAACTTTTTTCCACCTTTGCTTTATCCCCTTCATTTGCATGCTCATTCTCTCCCTCTGAACATGCATGTGTATCTCACACACATTTAATTATTTTACTGAACCATTTTGCTTACGTACTTTTCTTACATAATCACAACATCATCACTTCCAAAGAATTTAACGTGACAGTGTATATTCGTATGTCTCAATTGTCCCCAGAGTACCCATTATAGCTTTGTGGGGGTAGTAAGGGTTTCGACTCTAATAAAACAGTAGTTTCTTTAATCTAGAACATTACCCCACTTTTTTCATTCTTTCATGGGATTTTTTTTTTTTTTTTTTTTTTAAAGAATCCAGGCCAGATGGCTTGTAAAGAGTTCTGCAGTGCAGATTTGTCTGGCTTCTTCCTCATGATTCACTTCTGGTTTTTGAACTTTGAAAGAATTACAGGAAGACTTTGGTCTAGCTACATCTTGCTAACCCGGTAGTTGGTGAAACCCCATTAATGTCTTTAAAATCCCATACTGCTTCAAGGAATCCTTCTGGTAGACTGCCAGCAGTTTCTGTAGCAGCAGATTATTAGTGCTTGCAGATCACTAAATTGAAAAAGACACTAATTAGAAGACCTGGATTTTATTTATTTATGTGCTTGCTTTTCTTTTATATTGAATTTATTGGGGTGGCACTGGTTAACAATTATACAGGTTCCAGGTGACCAGTTCCACCATACATCATCTGCACATTGTTGTGTGTTCAGCACCCCAAATCAAATCTCCTTTGTCACCACTGTTCCCCGCTTTATCCCCCGCCGTTTCCCACTGCCCTCATCCCCGACACCCCCCACACTTGTCCTGTGAAGACCTGGCTCCCTAATTTCACTTTGCCAGTGAGCAACTGGATGACATTGGACAAATGACTTCTTAAGGTCTCCATTTTCTCACCAAAAAGGAAAGGATACACTCTGGTGTCTAAGTCCCTTTCAGTTCAGGAATAATTAACAAGCAGCCTAATCTTTGATGCTGGCTTCTGGATTACCTGGAGGACGATGGCGAGTGTCAACCTCGTTTGAGAGCTGTAGAGCCCTAAATGAGGGAATGTGGTTCCGTGAAGTCTCTATACAGGGTGGAGCAGAAGTAGGCTTACAGTTGTGTGAAGGGAAAAGAAGAATAATTAAATAACAATATAAGAATAACTGTGCCCTGACCGGTGTGGATGAGTCAGGCATTGTCTAGCAAAGTGAAAGGTCGTCAGTCTGATCCCCAGTTAGGGCCCATGCCTGGACTGTGCGGTTCAGTCCCTGGTTGGGGTGCATGTGAGATCAGTGTTTCTCTTCCTTCCTCCCTTCCCCTCTCTCTAAAAATGAATATATAAAACTTAAAAAAAAAAGAATAAACTGTTTTGTGTACTCACAACAGCAAACCCACGTTTGCTCCACCCTGCATTTCAAGGCAGCCAAGACACCCGAAAAAGTGGTGCTGCCGGTTACCCCGCGAGACCGTCCCGACACCAAGTGTTACAGCAGGATGTAGTGCACCGCAGAGTCGGAGACGAGCTCTGCGGGGAAACCGGTGTGTGCACCTCGCACTGTCCAAAGGGGCCAGGGTGGCACAAGAAATCGTAAAAGATTTCTAAATGCAAGGGAAGCAAATTTTTCACTACTCACCACTTAAGTTAGAACATGGTGAAAAGAATAAAGGCGGCACTTTACATACTGACATACCGGTGATTAACCAAGAAGATCCACAGCTAACCTCACACGAGAGCAGCGGGCAGCAGGCCGAGCTGTCTGTCTGCACTGCAGACCGGTTCATCCCGAGTGCCCTTCGTGTCTGCAGTGAGTGTGAGCGCACCGGCAGTTTCTGGCACAGTCGTCACGATGCTCGTAGGTTAGACTCCGGAGTTCTGTTCTGCTCTCCTGGGTAAACTGCCAAATTACTAGAATTTTGTTTTGTTTTAATAACCAGGGAAATAAAAACTTCTTTCCCCTTAGTCTTGGGAAATTATTAAAACGCCTATAAATCTAGAGCTAGACTTGAAGTGAGATACTTTTGTATTGCAAGGCAGGAGACATTGTCAGCAGTTACCATCCAGCTAATCGGGGGAAAAGCAGTCTCTTTGTTATCCAAGGCTCCGCGCTGCTTCCTGACCCCGAGCGAAGAGCCCCTGGTCTGTCGAGCCGAGATCTCTGTGCTGTGGTCGGTCAGTGCGTATGGAACAGCTGCGAAAGGCAGAGTGGTACCACCTGAAACGCTGCTGTTTTCCTACAACGTTGACTTAATGCTTGAATTTTTTTGACTTTGGCTTTTTGATACTATTTGTCTTTGTGCCTCCTTATTTTCTGGTCTTTTATCAGTTTTTAACTATAAATGTCTGTTGAGGCTCCATTTATAAGCCTTTATTTTCTTATATTTCTTCATTTGGGGGTTCATCCACAGTGATTTCAGCTGTCTCAACTGAAATTTCCGGAGCCACATCTTTAGTCCTAATATTACAGTTGCTTACAGAAAATTATCAATTTGTACCAATGCAAGATTTTCAAAAATGGGTGATCTTCTTACAGTTCTTTCTCCATTACTCTCTGATTTCCCTGCTCAAACCACGGGAGATTTTATTCGTCTCAGCTTTGCCTGTATATCTGTCGTCAGAAGCAGTTTGCCCACAGGTGGTTTATTCTTCCCAGGCCCTGTGCCCTTGCGTGTGCCACCACCTCTGACTCTGCACCCCTGCCGTCCCTCCCTTCGGAGGCTAATTCTGGTCTGGTATCATGGAGTCTTTCTCGGTGGACTTGACCTGCTTATTTATGCACATTCTCACCGCCCAGTAGTACTTGTGCACTCACACCGGTCAGGACTCAGGCATTCAGTTGAGTTTCTAGATTAGTGAAAGATCATCTGAATCTTAGTATTAACTAGATTGAGTGCAGCAAAAAGCTGGTATAACATAACTTAGAATCTTAGAAATTATTATTACTGGTCTTAATTTTTCTTTGTAAATTTATTGCTCCTTAAAAATTATTTGGGTCACTGCATCTCAGAATTGTCAAAGATGCTGCAGAGTCCGTGAAGACAAGAAGGGTTTCTCTAGGGGACCGTGTTCGAAGGTGCCTCGGGTCGGGTGGTTTTCACAGCCCCCAGGTCTTATTCCCCAGAAGCACCCCTTGCAAGTCTGAGGGTGGTTTTCCTTTTCTTTGATATTATTTGCTGACTTTCCACTGTGAAAAGGGGGAGTTCGGCCTGCTCTGTTTCCCCTCCTCACACACACACACACACACACACTCTCTCTCTCTCTCTCTCTCTCTCTCTCTCTCTCTCTCTCTCTCTCTCTCTCTCTCTCTCTCTCTCTCTCTCTCTCTCTCTTCCTTTCTCCAATAACCCAGCTGCTTCTCTCCTCACTTAATGTCAGTACTGGCGTTTGCGGCAGTGTGTCATTTGGGGTTGGGGCACTGGTTCTCAGAGTGTGGGTAGGGGTCCCAGAGGGAGGGACTCCCAGGGCCCTTGTGGGAGTCTGTAAAATGTAGAATGTTTCCACTGCGGTGGTAAGACATTGTTTGCGCTGTTCACTCATCCTTTCTCGAGTGTGCAGTGGAGCCCTCGTCCTCTGTGACTCATGGTGCTGTCTGTATTCTGGGCACTGACGTGACGCAGTGTGTGTGTGCGTGTGTGTGCTGTTCGGAATGTTCTAAGGTAAGACAGCCTCAGAGGATTGAGTGCAGAAGCAGGTAGGAGGGCTCCCCTTCTAGTAAGCCATGCATCAGAGAGATTTGCAAAAATGTAACCTGCTGATATTTTATTTTAGAAAAGCGCCCTGGCTGGCATAGCTCAGTGGATTGAGCACGGGCTGTGAACCAAAGCATCCGAGGTTCAATTCCCAATCAGGGCACATGCCTGGGTTGCAGGCCATGGCCCCCAGCAACCGCACATTGATGTTCTGCTCTCTCTTTCTCCCTCCCTTCCCTCTCTTAAAAGAAATAAATAAAATCTTTTAGAAAAAAAAAGAAAAGCATTATTTTTCCTTAGAAAGTTTATATTAGTTTTGTTATTTTTTCCATAGACACTGAGCAAATGTTGATAACTAATTTTGTTTAGTTACAAATGGATTTTACCATATTTTAAAATATTTATTAGAATTACTCTTAGTAT